AAATGATCATATGTCATATATTTCATCATTTATGTTACTATACCTTACACAGATATCTCCTATTTCACTGTCCTGAAGATTCTCCATATACAGTGCTTCTCTACCTGTGATCCAGCCACACAGAGCCGTGGGATGACGGGCCACTGTATCAAAACCAGTGATCTTCTTGAACCACGTCTTCTTCCAGGCTTCTCCTTCAGACAGAGACTCATAAACATCTTTATCTTCAGGCCCCTCTTTCCACACCACCTGCACCCCGGCACAGTCATCTTGCCAGAAACTCTTCTCAAAAAACAGGAAAATTTTGTCCACTATCCCAAAGCCGAGATCCTCAATCGCAGTCAGCTTTGTTGATGGTAAGGGCGGTTCAAACATGGTTGAGGCTTTGTCTTTGAGAACCCCGAGAGTAACGGTGACAATCACATGGTCTGCCTCAAAGCTCTGTCCATTTTCACAAACGACCTGAACAGGATACCTTTGGTCTTCACAATGGCCTTTTCTGACCAAATCCCATCGGATGCTCTTGACAGGTGCACTACACTGGATGGTTCCTGAAGGTAGATCTTTCAGGAGCACATCTAAGACTGCTCGATAGCCACCGGGTCCCAAAGTGTTAAAAAATCCTCCCTCTAAAGCAGTGTAATAGCTAATCTGAGATGAGGACACCTCATAGAGGCTAGAGCAAGCCTCGTCTGTGCATTCAGTCCTCTTGCACCATTCAAAAACTTGTTGGCCATCTTCTGTCGCCACTAGAGGAAATTCACCAAAGGCATCATCCAGATAAGCACCCAGACTTAGTTTCCTGTGCTTGTGCTTGAGTTCATCATCAAAAGCTTTGTCGGTGAGCTTGCTGAAGTGCGAACACACCTGATCTACAAGCTTTGTGGAGACCTGCTTCCCATCTTCTTTGAAAAAGTAATCTCGAGGGGTTACAGAACGGGGAAGGCACATGTTTTTGGAAGCAGAAGGTCCCTCACATAGCAGGTTCTCCTCTTTCGCAATCTTGAACAAGGGGTTTCCTTTCTGTCCGTGGATCCAGTTTGCTCCAACTTCAATGATGTTCTCGGTGAAGGGTTTAGTGGTGTGCACTCGACCTCCAATTCTTTCCATCGCCTCAAGGACCAGGACATTTTCAAATCCTGCCTTCACCAACGTGGCTGCAGCAGCCAACCCTGCAAAACCTGAACCTACAATTACAACTTTGGCATTTTCTCGTCCAGAACAAGAGCTCATTCTTGCTGCTTTGTTGAGCTGTTAAGAGAGAAAAAAGCTGAAAATGTATAAATGTAGTTGTAAGAACAAATAGCAACTTCTCGCACGAAAACTTGCAAAGGAGATAAGAGAGTAATGCACTGTGCCCTAAAAGAGGCTCCTTTATGTGCCCGTGCTTAGAAACCTGTAAAACCTGACCTTTGTAGTCCATACAATATATAATTATTAACGTAATCAGGCGGTCATGGTACATCCAATGGCGGATTAAGCTATTAGGCGTGTTTGACTTTATGCGGCAACCGGCCGGCGAGAGTTGCCGCTTACAGTCGGGGGTGAAATTGACGTTGGAGGTGACACTTTCAGTTTCCGGTAGTGAATTGCTGTGACTCAATCAAAAACGTTAACCTCCCCTCCCCCTCAAAACAACTCCCCTATTCTTCCGGTCACGAACTATGGCGCAAGGGCGGAGCTAGTGACGTGAGGGGTAAACGCTGGGATAAACGACAGGGGGAAAAACTGAAGCTGCTGCGTGCGCACGCTGTTTAGGCATGTTTTGCGCCGTTGATCGTCATCGTCATCCTTAATAAATAAAACATTTATTCATGCTTGGGTGTCGGCTGTGAATCCAGTGGAGAGAAATCCCGCACCACTAACCTCAAACTGCCATGTCAGATCTGCCTCCGTTAGTAACGCCCCAACTTCCAACGATCCAATCAGTTCCCGAAGGACGAAATCAAGTCCTGCCCTCTCATTTCAGATGCTGTTTCACTCGGATATACGTCACAGTAGAGAAGAAAATACAATCGAGATTACGAGGGCACATGAATTAAAAAAAAATTATGAAGTGCACGGATAAATTATTTATAATAAACACTACAGTATTCCATGAAAAAATAAGAATTGTCCATTTTGATTTCATGCCGACTTTAAAACACATTAAAACAAAAAAGGGGCACTTGGTCCCCAAACAAAACTATTATTAAATTATTAAATAAAAAATTAAAAATATACTCATATAAAATATTATTCACATTTCTGTCTTTTTTAAATGTATTTTTATGTATGTGACATACATTCGCTGCAAGTTCTAAACTAAAGCCTTTATGAATGGGAAAATAATTAGCGTACTGAGAGTAGGCTACCTGTTTGAGATTTATCACGTGCAAATCTGCCACAGCAGGAATCTGTTTTTTAATGGAAACTCCAAACATAAGCCTTTTAAATGACACTTTAAAAACAGACTTTTTAACAAGCATGAGAAACTATTTTTTTCTGTATAAAATACAGATAACAACAAAAATGTTTTAGTCAACTACGTACTGAAGGCGTACGATGGCACTAGTAGCCTATTCTATTTGGTCACCTGTGCGTGTTGCTGAGGTAAAGGTGATTTCATCCGAACTTCATGAACTGTTTATGAAATTACTATATGCTTCGAAAACCTCTAAACAACTATAACACCTCCAAATAGAAAAACCAACGAAAATGACAAATTAAGAGAATAATACATTTACATTTAGTCATTTTGCAGATGCTTTTGTCCAAAGCGAATTACAATTGGGGAATAAATAAAGCGATTGTTCATAAAGAGGCAAACAGACACAGGAAGTGCTCGTAATACCAAGTTTCAGGCATTTGTTCAAATAAGTACAAGCTAGAAAGGGAAGTACCGGTAATAAATAAAGAGAAAGACAAAGTTTTTAATTTTATTTTTTTTATTTAGGATGAAGTCAAGTAGCATCGAAAGAGATGAGTTTTCAGCTGTCGCTTGAAAATTGTCAGGGATTCAGCATTCCGGATAGGGGTGGGAAGATCATTCCACCAGTCAGGAACGGTGAACGAGAATGTTCTGGAAAGTGATTTTGAGCCTCTCTGTGATGGTACCACGAGGCGTCGCTCACTAGCGGATCTCAGACTTCTGGAGGGGATGTAGATTCGTAGTAGTGAGTGGAAGTAGGCGAGTGCTGAGCCTGTGGCTGTTCTGTATGCAAGCATCAATGTCTTGAACTTGATTCGAGCCACAACTGGTAGCCAGTGCAAGGAGATAAAGAGAGGTGTAACGTGGGCTCTTTTGGGCTCGTTGAAGACCAGTCGTGCCGCTGCATTCTGAATCATTTGTAGAGGTTTGATTGTGCTTGATGGAAGTCCAGCCAGAAGAGCATTGCAGTAGTCCAGCCTAGAGATGACAAGGGCCTGGACAAGAAGTTGTGCAGCATGCTCCGTTAGAAAGGGCCTGATCTTTCTGATGTTGTGCAATGCAAACCTGCAAGATCGGGCAGTCTTTGCAATGTGGTCTTTGAAGGTCTGCTGGTCATCAAAGATTAAACCAAGATTGTACAACAAGTTGATGGGGTAATTGTAGAAAAACCTTGCTGGATGGTGAAATCATGCTGTAGAGTTGGAGTGGCAGGGAAGACAAGAAGCTCAGTCTTTGCCAGGTTGAGCTGTAGGTGATGTTCTTTTATCCATGCCGAGATGTCTGCCAGGCAGCCTGAGATCCGTGCAGCTACCGTTGGATCATCTGGTTGAAATGAGAGATAGAGCTGTGTGTCATCAGCAAATATACACATAATTATATATACACATAATGTCATCAGCATAATACACCAAACACACAGGACACCACAAAACAGGAAACTACACATCGCCTTTCCTTACCTCATGAACGCCATCTAAAGTCTGCTGCAGCCATTACAACCACCTCAAGATTGGTATTTGCAGTTTCTCAAGAATGTAGTCATTTATAACACATATATTAGACATATTCATATATTTATTCATTCGTAATCATTGTTCTTATGTACTTGTGTCTGAGGTAATTCTACCTGTTAAAATTGACAGTCTGTTTTTCAAAGACTTTTCAAGTTTGTCAGGTCCCAGATTAAACTTTTCTTTTGCTAACTACTATCCCTGCTGAAAGATCAGTTTAAACAAGCCTATAAGCTGGTTTGTTGGTCTCCCAGGCAGGCTGGTCTGGCTTGGCGCTTTTAGACCAATTTCGGAGAGCAGCAAACTAGCCTAGACGGGTTTAAATGGCCTTTTCTCCTCCCAGATAGAATGGTGGTACACATGACTTGAACATCTGATAGCTTTCCTAAGTAGCTAGTAGGCTGCCCTTATTTGACTATCATTCTCAAACTTTGATCTCTATGCTGTTTAAATGAAAACTGTTTTTGTAACAAGTAACTGTAACAAGTGCTGTTTTGTTGCAAATGCTTTGCTTAGGGCCACAACAAAGTTTTACAATTCCATATTGAATTTGTGCATAAGTTAATGTTTAATATTAGCAAAGAGGCAGCAAAAGATTTTCCATTACAATGAGTCTTTTCGTTTTTATTGACTTTTCCATTCGACAGGTGGTATGCCTCTTGTAAGCAGTAAATGATTAATACCAATGGAAATTACAAATTAGACAGTATACAGAAGTCTCCAAGTGTCTTTTATAATTAATACTCAGTATACATGATTAACCTCACATAAAACTTTTATCTTTCTTGAAGTATATAAAAATTTATTGTAGTGCTTAAGTCACTTAAGTGTAAAGCAGCTTTTAGTCAGTGCTTGAAGGTGTCCCCTTGAGATGCATTAAGGAAAGATTACATTGGAAGTTTACCATGCAGCTTTAATACAAATCACTGTGTAAAAAAGACAGATTTGCAAACTTCATTTTCCCGTATCATCCATATTTTCTGTAAAAAAAAAAATACTCTTAAAGTAATTAATTCTGTTTTATAATATATGGCAATTTCAAATAAATCAACTTGCATGTGCAAAACACATTTAAATAAAGTAATTAAACATGTAAACATGTAAATCTAAAAAGAAATGATCATGACTGTAGTGTATTTGCATCACACCACTACTAGCATTCATACAGTTTAGCATGAGAGGTCTGTTTCGCAGAACAGGAATGTATTTGTGCCCATCCTAAAACAGTCCCTTTTCTTTCTTCAGGTTCAGCTGCTTCCAGGACGGCTGGTCATAGAAATCAATCCGAGAAATCCCCATGATCAGTTTAAAGTCGTCGTTTGAAAGGTAGTCCTGCATAGATGATAGAGGTGTGTATTAGTTTTATCAACAGATGAATATGACAAAAACATGTTCAGGTCACATTTCACTCCAAAATCAAAGAAAGAAAATTGTGCTATTAAGATTGTTCTAATTGTGATTTATTTTACTATTCACTTAAAAAAATAGAGGCATATACTACCATCATGTGTAATTCATAATAATAATAATAATAATCATCATCATCATCATAAAGTAAAATGAGAATGGGATTTTTTGCTTTACGGCAGTGGTTCTCAACCCGCGGCCCGTCACGAATTCAAATGCGGCCCACCATGCTGAACACAATTGAAAAAATAACTCATTTTAGTTTTTACATTAATTTAAAAATGTACTAAACAAATATAAGTTATAATGTTTTTGTTATGTAAAATAATTTAGTTTTTCATATATTATTTTCAGACATGAGTAGACCTGTAGCCTACTCACGTAATTAACGTTACGCATTTAACGAACACTTACAAGCGCGCACTTTGGCAGAATTCAATTCAAATAGTCATCAGCAGCCATTAGTTTGGTAAAATTGAGCATCAGAATGGACACATTTGTTATTAAGGGAGAAAAACGAAATGTGGAAAATGCCAGCGAAGGAACACATACAAACAAGAGTAGTCGCAGCAGTGAAGGTAGGGGAGTGCTGGACTTTCGGCATCAACTTTCGGTTTGCCCCGCCGCACTCACTTGAAGATGTTCAGGCTAGAGCCTGGCACGGGCCTCAAATATAGGCCCTAGCCCGGCCGTGTCCGACAGCTTATCAGAATTACCGGCCCGAGCCCGTCTTTTTTTCCCCCTTCTCCCAAAACAGCTTATACTACTGTTTCAGCTATATTAAAATAGTTCAGTTTTGTATGTAATGGCAAAGTGATTATATATCGTTTCGTTTTTTTATTAAGTTAATTTAGAAAAACGTTTGGAGCATTTTTTGGTCGTTAATCAGTGAGCTGATCATAGCCTATGTTTGATCAATTTAGCCTTCTCAAATCATCACGACTTGCCTAAAATAAAATCTATAGATATAAAACAGTTCAAGCATATAACAATGTTTAAACGTTAAACCTAGATAAATGTGCGCTGTATCCAATAGTTTGTTTGGAGAGTGGAAGCTAAAGCGCACTTTGCAGGACATAGAGGCGCCAGCGCGATCACTAGCATTTTTTTCAGTGGATACGCCGTCATTTTTACTCATAAAGGTAAGAGTAATACATCATTCGTAACTGTAAAGGGTCTAACAAAACGTTGTGCTTTTATAAAATAAAGAAAACAAACATGATGCGCTTTCTGCCGTCTCGTCTTGAACAGGAGCGCTTCACAAAAATGAACCGAAACTCAGCGAATACATGCCTCACAGACATGATAAATATATCTATAGAAAGCTTTAAATGACT